AAAAAAAAAGTCAGAATATGAGTAGAACATAAACTTCGAAAAAAAATTAAAATTATCCGCTCAGTTGAACAAGATACTGGGTGAACAGTTTAAAAAATTTACATACCACAATGCTGCCGAATGTATTGCTTTCATCCAAATAGAACCTGTTGTCAGGAGACTGTTCAATCTTGGCGTGCTTTATTTCTTTGTTATAACTGTAAAATAAGTGTAGAGAAAGATATCATATTTTACTTGCTGCACACTTTTATTTTTTGTAAAAAACATTGCGTATTTCAGTTTTCATCTATTCCCGCTTCAACCAAATCGGTAATAGAAATTTGACGAAAAAAATAAAGCGACGTAAACCAACAATTCCAGCTACAACTTCCTTCGTCCGAACGTCAGCCGGTTACAAAAAATTCAAATTTGACACAATTTTTTAAACATTTGATGTGCCTAATAAAACATCTAAAAATTTCTACTTCTCTTATTCAGTTGTTTTTTTCCCAACTTCAATAGCTCTTCTACTATTTGAAGACTGCCACCTTATGCTTATGACGTATTTCTGCTGCGTGTTGCTGAATCTAACCAAATAAGTCCCGTGTGGAGTGTCACGAAGCCTTGTTTCAGCTTCTCTCCTCTCCAGCGAGCCTTGATACCACGGCTGGTTGATAACTTCAGTATTTATGTAATCCTGCCCTACTGGAGACCGCAAGGACATCCTATATAAAAACAATTTCGCTATAAAATGGGAAGAAAAGATTAAGTACAACATTTAAAAAAGCATCTCAAATTCTGTGAGTCTAGCTTCAGACGGTTACACTGCAGCTCAGTAAAAAATATTCCAAAAATTTTTGGCGACACTGATCAGAAAGCACCAGAAATTCAAACACAAAGTTGCGCTGATAATCGTAGTCAAATCAGTGAACACCAACGTTTCAAGGTTACATATAAACAATAATTTGACTAATTTAATTACCTCCTTTGTTGAGATAAAACTAGCAACAAAAAAACACAGAAGAAACAATATGGTAATGCCGGGAAGAAGAAAACCGGAAGTGTAAAAACATGTAAGTAAAAGCATAGCGGCGCATCTGGGTTTGAGAGTGACGCTTACACAAAAGTTACAAATTTTCAAGTACTTCCTAAATAAGCCCTCATAAAAAAAAGACTTTGTTTTTTTTTTTTTTCATTAAAAGGGCAGAAAAAATACCATTATGAAAATGGCAAAATATTTTATGACTCAAATTTCTTCAAGCTTCAGCTTTTTTTACTTTGTAAATGTGTTCTAAAAAAACGAGAAAATAAAATCATACAGGCTCTCAGTGGAATTCCGATGACTACTGACTGCAGGTCTGGGTAACTGTGGCGATGTTAAGCTAACTTTTTCGACTAGCGAATTCAAACTCGCAGCGTCGATACCAGTAATACTTCCGGAAGAAACAGCACTATGCAGAGATGTGGTTGACGACTGAAAAGTTAAAAACTATATTTAAGCAAAAACTTGTAGACAAAACGATCCTTAAATTTTTCGTCTTGAAAGAAGAGTCAATGAACAAAAATACTTAAGGACCAAAGTATTTAATGGCTACAGCATAATGGCCTTCAACATTACGAACATTCACCAACCCTGTGCTTGTGAACGAACTCAGGCTGAACAATACCAATTTTATCGGGATTAGAAACAACCCGACCCTGAAAAAAAGAAAGTTTACTCACCATTAACAAATTCCTGATACTTTTTTTGTAAATTACAAGTTGGAGCTGCAGAAAGCGTAATCAAAAATATTTTCTGAGAAAAAAAAAAACCCACTCTGACCAGCCCCCCTACGCCTTGGTGGAACACTTCAATAACGTCGTTTTTCTCAAAACTCAAAAACCTTGGATCCGACGATCGAAATGATTTAGTCGCTCGAATAAATTCTCTGGGGCCCACTATAAATTT